TTTAAAATATTGTTATAATGGATTTATTCACACCACATACTAACAAGCAATAAATTATAAAAAAAACAAATGGTCAACAACAGAAAAAGTAACAGAAGGTTATTTAAAATAATAACGGAGATGTAGATGTAGTTACGGAAGTAAGTTAAAACAAAGATTATAATAAATGTTCAAAATTATGCCCTTCAGCGTTAATACACAATGTTAGTCTTCTCGTTAGTTCGATATTACAGGCTCTAAATTAAATGGCACGATCTAAAGTCGCCGTAGCTGCATACATTTTATTATACAAAACTGCGATGTCTTCTATAGGGTCCTGATATACAGTGTTTTTTAAATTATCCCATAGGAAAAAATTTCATTGGGTCAAATCTGGTAAACGAACCGGCCACCTTATAACTCCGTTAGTACCTATAACCACCCTCCCGGAAACCTCTGATTTAAGTATTCTTGCACAGCAATAGTATTGTGGGGGGGGGGTCGCTTTATCCTGTTGGAACTATAAATCATTTACCCTATGTTGAGGGGCAATATTATCCAATAAATTTTGTAATTCGTTTCTTAGAAAATGTAAATAACGGTTGCCTGTTAATATTCCGTGGTAAAGATTAAATAGATATTCACAATGACGCACCAAACACATAAAAAAACAGTTTTATTTCGGGCTTGGTGAATTACTCTTGATCATTTGTTTTTTTATAATTTATTGTTTGTTAGTTAGTATGTGAAGCTAATAAAGCCATTGTAACAATATTTTAAAAGAGTATTTTGTTTCAGTGTTTTTAAATAAAATAATAGATCTTCCTGTTACATCATACATTACATATTGAAGTCGACATGTCTCGAAAACAAGTAAATATCCCAATATTTACTTTATATTATAAAAATTACTCAAAATTTAACGGTATTTCAGATGAACCGCATTTCCATGTTCCAGGAATCAAAACATTTTTAAGTATCGCCGCGCCATCTATACAGAAAGATTTGATCTAACAATTCTAACTACAATAATTTGAAGCTATTCGAGGGGCCTAACAACCCCAGTTTCCGGAACTAAAATAAATTTCTTCATTTCGTAGATATTGGCAGCGGGAGTGTTAAATAGCACCACCCTGTATATATAATATTTTATTGTTGCCTTTGAGAATTATTTTTATTTTCAATGTTTTCACATGTTGTATCAACAAATCTTTTTAAATGCTGATTATCTAACAATAATTAAAAAAATCTAATCTTTGGAAGGTATTATTTTTGTACTGTCATATTTTACTACACCTTTTTATGTTTATGTGATTATTTCAATTGAAATTTAAGTAAATTAGTAGTTGATAGCCTCCTATAAATACTTATTTCGTATTCGTTATAATTCTGTAATCATTAACTATTTAATCGATTGTTCTTCATATAGGTAGTTCATATAATCAATAAAATTAGGAGCGCATTATCAATGTATCTCCAATAAATCATACATTCTTTATTTAAATTGTTAATATAGTTGCCACGGAATTCCTTAATATTTGGGTTCCCATAACTCATCCGAAATTTTGTTGGCAGGACTCTTTTACTTGAAAATATGTTATTTTTAAAATGGATTTTAAATGAATTACTACAGATTTCGTCGACTAAATTTTTATTGAGAAACAACTTGCTATCCTAATTAGGTACAGAAAAATTTAACATTTTCTATTTTTAGATAAAAAAATAACTGTTATTAATCAATAATGACATAAAAGAAAAATTTATTACGATTCAGTGTCAGAATCATCTTCTTGGTGAATATTACTTTCTTCCTGGTGGTCAGTCTTACTAAAAGGCCGAAGGGAGTTGTAAAATCCATGATACATCGGTGGTATCAAATTAGCCTTACACAGACCCAAAAGACCGCTTAATTCTTTACCATCAATTGGCAGCAAACCTTGATACAATCTCGGAAATTGATATTCTTCGCGTTTGCGCGTGTTTTTTGTTGGTTATTGGGAGACTTTGGATCGCAGTAGATTTTGCTGATTTTCACAGCCTCTCCAGTAATATCTTTTTCCACTTTTGTTTCTTTACCATTGATTTAAAAGTTACAAAATCTTCTTGAGACATTTCTTTTACTTTGTACTGTGGGGCAGTAACTTTGGCCATTTTTATTAGACTAATCCACTGATCAGGACTATCAGGAGTGTATATAGCAGAGTGANTAATTCTGACCTGGGTTAATTTATGTAGAACATCCAGTATATGGATTTTCAAAGAAAGCGTCTGGTTAGTAACTATAAATTTTTATCAAGAGATTTCAATAAATAATGTAGAAAAGTAGGTATTGAAATGAAAAAAAATCCGTCAGCCTGTGTCATTTTTATGAAACACTCAGTATATAAATTTGCAAAATGCTTCTGAGTTTTACAATATAAGATACTTCATAAAAATATTGCCATCAATAAATTTCTGAAAGCCTCTGGACCGATAATTCTGATCTGACTCAATTTTGTGAAACATTCAGTATATAGATTTTCCAAAAAGCGAATGGTCAGTTTTCTTCAAAACATTTCAGTAGAGAAAGTAAAAAAGTAAAAAGAATAGAATAGCCTAGTCCACCTGTGTCAGCTTTATGAAACATCCACAAAGCGTCTGGTTAATAGGATAAGATTTGTCATAAAAATATCGCAATCAATAAATTTTTGAAATATACAGAACACTCCTGACCGTTCGAGCTTCAACGCAATTTTTTTTAGACACTGTAGAAGGAAGTTTTGGAAAATGTATATATTTTTCTTTATGAAAAGGTTTAAAAAGATAAATCCATATATAAAATTAAATTGCGGCAATATGTAAGCAATAAATCTTAGGTTATCCCATTTTCACCGCCTCACTAACGTCTGTATTCTGTCACAAAATCGTCCGCGAAAGATCCAGAATGGTATAAAACAGAGAAATAACAACATTCCACGACCTGGAAGTCTTTAGCTTCAACTTATTTCGATAATTCTCAACTTTTGACATTTGTGGACTAATACGGATGCAATTTATAGTAATTAACGAAGCAAATGTACTAATTAATACAAAGGTGATAGGGTTTAGGTGCTACTGTTTGTTTGAAAATTAGAAAGAAATATACAATTTTTAGTGGGTACTTACAGCAAATTGTGGGACATACAGCAGGAATACCACGTATGTAGTGGTAGAGCTGAGTTAAAATGTAAATAAAAATATAATGATAAATATATACCTGTATATATCGTAGGGTAGCTATGTATTAAAGTTTAAAAGAGGCATAGAAAGATGAAATAACAACAATCCCCAACCTTAGAACGTCTTTAGCTTTTGGAGTGAATTGTGAAATTTATTTTGACTTTTCAATCTGACATCACTCGCGATTGTCATGTTTCCGTCGATGGGCGTTGCCGTCTGTCGATACGCTGCTTCTCTGTTCCGCGCGAAAAATCGCCGGCAGCCGTCCCGGGAAAGGAAAATTTCACATCGAATACGTTAAGAAATCGTTTTCAAAATATGACGTCTGGATAAAGGAAGAAACGAAGCCCGCTTAGTGTCTTTCGTCCGGCCGCTTCGCGTCTCGCGAAAAGACCCTCAAGTCGGGCAAATCACGGTTTTTCGCGGTCGAGTGTGGGAGCGAGAGGAGATTGCAGATTTTAAAGTAAAGTAAAAAGCGGCCGCATTTCGAATCCGCGTTAATTTCATAAAACATATTTCTATATAATATTTAAATAAATAAGTAGAAAATAGGTAAAATAAAAAATAAAAAAGCTCTAACCGCGCACGATCCGAACCTGGGTCCCGCGGATGGACGGCCGACGTCTAGTCCCTGTAGCTATCTCGGACACGCGGTGGGTTGTCCCTGTATAAGTTATTTGACGGTCCGCATCGGCTCGAATTCGGCGAAAATTTTGAAACGTTTAAATTCCGTTTTCTCGCCGCGATATCGATGGCGAAGGACGGAAATCGGTCTCGGACGTGAAAATAACGACCCCCTACGTCCCGAAAAACGTCTAGGAGAGCGAAATCCGTAAGGCAATTTTCGGTATCTGACGGTGGGCGTCTCAGACATGTCGCGTCTCTGTTCGGCTCCGCGCCTAGCCGAGGTGCCCCAGGGAAACGAAATTTTACCCGGGAAAATGCGGGAAAAACGTAAAGAAAATACCGTTCCGGGATAAAGAAAGGGCGTCGGGACGCTACGCGTCCCGACGTTCACCGCTTCGCGGCTCGCGGAAGAAGCCTTAATGGAGACAAAATGGGTCATTTCGGGGCCGGCGTGGGAGCGAGAGGAGATTGCACGCTTTAAAGATATAGAAGAAAAAGAAGATAGAAGATAGATAGATAGAAAGAATAAATTGATACATGGATTATTAGAGGTAACAAAATACTGTTTTGACGAATTGGGTCTTAATTACATATTGTTAGGTAAATTTCAAACTGATCATTTAGAGCATAGATTTGGAAAATATCGTCAACTAGCGGGGGGTCAATATCATATTTCTATAACAATTATACGAATCAGAGAAAAGGCTTAGAATTCTAATATTGTTAACTTTAAACTCCAAAACTTTTGGAAATATAAATATTAAAAGTTTTTGTGAAAGTCGGGCAGGTGATTCGTCTTTAGGGCATGAATTTGAAAATTCTTTTAACCCCGACATTGATATCCAGGAACACGAAATAAATAACATTAAACAGGCTTTATCAGTAATAACTTATTTGGCTGGTTACTGCTATACCACTCTTAGGGCCATTTTCATAATATGCGGTAAAAGTAAAAGTGAAGGTAACTATTACCTTAAAGTTAACCCAGACATATCATTTCATAAAAGATTTCACATTCACGGTTTAGTTAACCGAAAGTGGGTGTGTTTTTCTACAATTGGTACTGCTGACAACTCATCACGTGACCCTTTTTCTTAGATTATCAATGTTCTGTGGAGTGGAAGTCAAATGTCAGATAACCTCACATTTTCGTTTAGTATTATGTTCGAAGAGACGAAGAAAAACCAAAAAACGCTATGGAAAAACGTGCACTAAACTTTACCGAACAAGAGGAGAATTTGTTGATAAATTTAATTGAAAAATATAAAAATATTATAGAGTGTAAGAAAAGTAATGTACGTACATGGAAAGATAAGGAAAAAATTTGGAAACATATTGAACAAGAGTTTAATAGCAGAAGCGGAAAAATCTATAGACACGCAAAACATCTGAAAGAAAAATATAGTAATTTAAAAAAAAGAGCTAAAAGGAAGTTTACAGAAGAGAAGATGGAACTGAATAAAACAGGTGGTGGGACATTTACCCCAATATTAATGAGTGATGTAGATATTGCGATTAAAAACATTTTGTCAGGTCAAATGGAAGGAATAAAAAACACATTTGACTCTGATGCAATAGGTAAACAGATATATTATAATGACGAATGTATTAATTTATTTTCATTCTAGAGAATTTCGAGTCAATCCCTGATAATTCTCAAATTGAAATTGAGCATGACTACACAGATATTTTAACAGATATGCCTGGAACTGTAGAAAATGTAGGTAGGTAATACTTTTAATAAAACTATTTGCATTAATTCCTCTAATATTTATACATATTATGCACTATTGCTTCATAAAGTTTTAGATGAGGTAAATGAAAAGGAAACCAATGTGGATATCACGGATAAAGAAAAAGAAATAATAGAAAAACATGATTGGAGTTATTACAGTGCCAAAAATTTGAAACAGCCGAAAGCAAAGAAGCTTCAAGTTAATAAAAGACATGTTTGTAAGTATAAAGTTTATATATACAGGGTATTTTATTAAGAATCGGACACAGCATAATGAGATTCCTCAAGTCAAGATAGTGGTGTAGCAACTATGTAGAGCAGCAGGAATTGAACCGACTTTCGTCACGGTGACGTGCAATTTTGTTTTCAACGTAATTTTCTATAGTTTGTCGTGTTTAAAAAAAGCGTTAGGGTAATACATGGTGTTATTATTGCAATTTTTTAAATATTTTGATAAAAAAATATAATATTCATTTGTTCGTATGAAGTTGTTTGAATCCTTGCTGCTACTATATATAAAAATACATTAAAGTAATACCTCATTGTTCTAGTTTCAAAGGAAAATACTGTCGCAGAGGAAAAGTTGGAATTCCTGAGAATACAAAAACAGATGTTTTTGGAAGAGCACGAGATAAAAATGGACATTTTTAGATTGAAAAAGGAAATTAACTTAANTTTAAAAGTTACAAAATCTTCTTGAGACATTTCTTTTACTTTGTACTGTGGGGCAGTAACTTTGGCCATTTTTATTAGACTAATCCACTGATCAGGACTATCAGGAGTGTATATAGCAGAGTGACGTTTTTTTGCAACTTCAATCACAGCATGCATGCTGTCATTTTCATTCTGAGTGTGGCCAATTTCAAGAAAACGGTGTGTTATTTCCAAATTCAAAGTCATTGATGTATAAGCATCATGCATAGCAATAGCCTTAACTGCTGCTTAAATCATAAATTGTAAAGTTGTATGTTGCGATTTTACTTTTATAATAAAAATCGCTGACTTCTGACTTGGGCGTTACTAACACCTGCAAATCAAAGCAAGCTGTTATTAGAGATTTATCAATTTTCGACAATTCTTTATCAATGTCTTTCAGATTTTGAACCGCGATTTTGTTATGTATGATTAATATAATCATCTTCCATTTTTTCTGTTCTCTTCTCGGGATCTGTATTCTTATAGGCACTACACACGGAACAGTGATCTTTTTTTGCTTAAAGAAAACTATATTAAATTTCGAATTAAAAGTATCCATGTATTGTCTGAGTGTAGCTACTGCATCCCATTTTTGTTGTTTTGCATATTCTAAATACATTCTGTACATTCGTGAAATACTCAAACCTTCTTTCAAGTAATATTTATTATGTACAATAAACTGCTCTTTTTCTCGTTGTGTCACGCACCTTACAAGAAAATCCCACTGCCGAGTATGATCTCTAAGGTTCCAAAATTCGTCAAAAATGACATTTCTAGCTTCTTCATTTATTTTTTTGTTGCATTTATACCTGCAAGTTTATTTACAAGGCGATTTCATTACCTTTACAAAAATAAGTTTGTCTTTACGATTTTTATGTAATAAAAATTTCATTCAAATTTGAATTTATAAATTGATTCTGTTTCACTAACGCAGCGTGCAACGCGCAAACGCGGCAGACATGACAGAAGCTATTTACATGCTGTCATCTGGATCGAGCTTGCAAGGCAAACTCTCCCATCTATTTGCAGCTCAAATTAAAGTTTATTAGTTATTTCAAGCACCATCTTTAAAATATTAAAAATATACTTTTAATATGCTTGCCCTTATAGTAATTCTTCTGTTTTTAAATAATTTTTTTAATCGTCATTTCTCCGGCTCCAGTACAATCTACGAATATCTCTTTGCAGTTCAAATTAAAGCTCATTTCAAGCGCTATGCCGCTATCTGTAGGAATATAAGTAGGTATACTTACCACTGCAGTACTCACAGATTTTATTTACGCTATAGCTCTATAGGCTACGTCCAAACTATTATTGGTTTTAAAATTATATAAAATTATATTAATATAAGTAATAAACTTAAACCTATTGACCCAGGATACAGGATACAAGAAATCAATAATAGTTTGAAGGGCTTTAAAAAATTTTAAAGCTCTCGGTTATTATTTATATTCTCATTTTTTCTTTCGAGCACATAACTTATACGGCTATAGAGTAAAGGGTTATTATAAAGTTAAAAGACTTACAGTTTGGGAGATATTAATTTCTCTCGTTTTTGCCCCAAGCCCACGGCTTATAGATAACGGAGTTATTAGTTTAAAGGGCTTACGATTTGGAATATATATTTATTTCTCTTTTTTTCCTGTAGGTGCACTGTTTTTAGGGGTATAGGGCAAAATAATAAAATTTGTATTATTTTTTTTACCTGGGAAAATCCCATTTCTACAAACGATTTAATTTTCATTTTTACGTTCTTTTTTCTTTTCAATTTACGGTGGCTATAACTCAAGAATTTTCAAAAAGTTTTCTTATAGTTTTGGCGCCTCATTAGTCGTTTGGGGGCCTATCTTCCAAAATAAGTCGGGATTTACCGACAGCCCGACCTGGCCTGGTAAGTAATTCAATTACACTTTCAATGTATAAATTTAAATCACTTTAAATAAAAATAAAATATTTTTCGGAAAATCTTTCATCTAGCAATAAATACCTTCGTAGAATTAAACATTGTCAAAAATAAATTATAAAACGTGATGAATTTAAAAATCCAATGTACAGAATTGGACAAAGGTGAAACCTTCCATTGATAGGTATATAATCTTATTTTAATCATTATGTGCGAAAAAAGTTATTAAGAAAATAAAAATGTGGAGGAAGGACATAAGTCATCCACTAAATGAATAACTAAATGAATATGAATACTTATTCTCTCTTCTCTTATTTGAGAAAAATCGACCTACGGATTAAGTTCTATTTGGAATGGTCGAAAATTATAGCTTATAGCTTATATTGCTAGTATTTTGCAGAATTATTTACATATATTTTCTACTTTGGCTGTTTCTAATTTCCACTTTTCTGCTATAAAGGGCAAAATAGAAAACGATAGGACGAATTTTTTATTAAAGAATAAGCAATTATATTACAATAAATGTAGGTAGGTACTTCAGATAGGTAGTATCAGATAGGTACGCAGTAAACTTCTTAAAAATATTTTAACCAGAATTTAAGACTTTTGAAATGATAATGATAGGAACAAAATGGTAAAATTTTTCTATTTGCCCTACCGTCACCTATAAATATTAAAACCTGTACATCCTTTTTACTTTGCTTGCATATTTAAGTATATGATTTAAATGCAGTTTTTTAGATATTCAGTTAAATTGAAAGAATTATTTTACTTACTAGATTTGCTGTTTCATCTGACATTAATAGAATAGATTTTCATACCCCTGGTATATTAAAGTAAGTTGACTGTTCGAGCTAAGTCACACAACGTCCTAGCCTCCATATCCTTTTTACTTTAGTACTGAGAAGAAAATGATATGAACTTAAGTTTTAAGAAATTTCTTGCGATTTCAGAGCGATACTTAGAAAAATAATTGAATGTTGCATTTCGGAGATTCAAGCATGTATTTTTTTGAACACCCTGGCCTGCATACCTAAATGGATAGAGCGCTTCCTTAGTGTTACAGTGATATAAGGTTCGATAGATCTATCTCTAATAATAAAGTAGATATGGCCAAAGGAGTCTGTTGTAATTTTAATATATTGAAATGATATGAAGATATGATAAATAGATTATGCTAACAATATGTTTTGTCATATATTCCTTATTATTAGATATGGATCTAATAAACATTATATCATTGCAATCCTTTGAAAGCATTATATCTAAATACTTATGTAAAAATATACTGCATATATAGCAGAAATACGTTTAATCTTTTTTCTAAGGGTTGTTCTAAAATTACAAGAAAATTTCCTGCAACATTCACCCATACCATTTTGTTTTAACTGCGAAAGTAAAATAGATAAGAAGAGTAGAATCTTACATGTAAAAATCATATTATTATAACAAACCAACTGTTTGTTCCATTTTCAACTACCACTGGGTAAGTAATTTTCCATCAATTTAATATCTATTAGATTCACTCATAGACCACACTCCTTGATCTTCTCTGTTAAAGTGATTGCCTAATTTTATTAACATCATTACAACAATAATAAGAACGTGTGTGGCGAATAAATGAAAAGTAAAAAAAATACCCATAATGTTGTGTAAATCTCAAACCCACAAAAGGGACGAATATCGTTTACATGGGTTTTATGAACTCCTTTGAAAAAAAGATGAAAATATTTTCAACAAAATTTGCGAAATAAAAAATTAAAATAGGGGTGGCCCACCAATCTTTGAAGGAATTGTAAGTACCTACATAATATATTTGCAAAATATTTTTTTCATAATCAACTGATAGATAGGTGCAAGCAATTGTTTTCTTATTTTTCACAAAATGTAATTTTTATGAAGTTTAAAAATGAAATGTTAATATTAAATTAAAATTTAAATAGACATTACTTGCAAAAATATAAAAAAAAAACACCTGATTATATCCATTATGAAAAAAATATTTTGCAAATATATGTGACTTTATTCTAGATTTCAATTTCGGTCACCCTTATTTTAATTTTGTATTTCACAAATTTAATTCGAATTTTTTTATCGAGAAAATGTTCTATATGTCTATCTAGAAATCATCTCTTACAAACCAATATCGATCCCACTCTTCATTGTTAAAATATGATCACTTTAATTTTCGCCGACACTACTTCAAAAACCTAATTCTTTCTACTTAGGTATATAAAACAGAAATTAATTTTGTTCATTTCGGAGCTTTGAATCCGTAATAGTTTTTTAAATAAAATATTCTTATATTAATAATATGATAACAATAAAACAGCAGTAACAGACAAAATCTTTGATATCTTACTTCCATTGTTAGTAGTACAAAAAGGTAAAAATTGTACATCACTAAATCTATCAGCACATGAACAATCTCTCATTTTCAGTTCTGTAGAAAATAAGAAAATACTTACATTGGTGTTGTAAACCACTTCATGGTATACCTACAGTATAATATAAATCAGGAACAGATAAATAGAAAAAATATAATTAATTGGAATATCAGAAAAGAAAGAAAAATATCAAGAACTGACAATGGAAATATAAAAAATCTGTAAACAAAAATGAGTGCGCGTTATTCAATATATTATTGAAAACCTACTGACAGTTGTTTAGCAAATATCACACGCAAATTAATTTACATCAGAATATTCATACCCTAGCGCAGAACTGGGAGTATTTTGACAAAAAAATACCAAATAGTATTTTAAATATAAAATAGTATTTTGTATTTTGCAATTTAAATACTTTTGTTATAACCCCAAAAATATTTTGTATTTTCAAAAAGTATTTAAAATCTTCTAAAAGTAATTTAAATACTCTTGAGTATTTAAAATACCCAAAATACCTACCAAAAACAAATATTTTTTGCCTGTTACGACTAGCGACTAGTACAACACGTGCTAAAAAAATACGCACCTGCACGCCTGAATTTAGCGCACTCTACTCTGCATTCTGCAATCTGCGCTGTGCTATTGCTATTCTGTCTACTACCTTTTAGGTCACTATTTTCACTAGTCAAGTGAGTCAAGTCAATCATCAAAATT